CAAACCATGAACTGGTTGTCTACAGGCTGTCATCTACCATCCTTTGATGTTTAAAGTTGGACCGCAGTCAAACATATGTGTTTTATTATCATGATAAGGTGAATGCGTTATTGAGAGTGGAGCGCCAAAGCGTAGTGGAGATGGGTGCCAGATGAGTTGGGGCCCTAATTCATAATACTCGACTCAACTCAACTCAACTCAACTCAACTCGACTCAAATCAACCCAAATCAACTCAATCAACTCAACTCAACTCACCCAACTCAGCCTCGGCGACTGAGCAATGAAAGATGTTGCAACCCACCCCTAAAGGGCACAGACAGGCCAGTATCATTCCAGATTTGACTCACTTCTGCTCAAAGTTGGGGGCTGGGGCACGAACATTTTGAGGGGACTGGAGCCCCGGACTAAATAACTGCACCCCTGCCAATTGGTGTCGGGTATGTTTTATGTAGTTACCAGTGCCAAGTGTGACCTCACACACATATTGAAGTGCTGTTATGTTTCTAGCACGTATGCAAGTACAGAAAATGTCATGGAGCATGCCATTTGGGGCACACCACTGACACGGCTTAGCATATGATCATAACCAGTGGCATAGCCAAGGTTTCTCTATGGGGGGGGGGGGGGGGCTGATCAGTATGCTACTCTTACGAACCCTTCTTTAATAAATCAAATGTTGCGCTTCCATATATTTGTTTATTTTAGATAGTGCACGGCCAACAGCGAGGCCCTCAGGGCCAGTGCTTTAGTAGCGGGTTGGCCATGTCCAGTCCTACGGGGTTTGGCTTGCAGTGGTCTTACTTGCTCTCCAGGTATAGTGTTAGGTTGGGTACCTTGTGATCCCCATTCCCTGTTCAAATGATCACCAGAGTATTTAGATGCGTTCAGCCAATATTTAACTGACATTTCTAGCGCACTGATAAAGTGGCATTATGCTATGGAACAGGAACTGTTTGGAACTCTTAAACGTCACCAATTAACATGCGCCCGGATGGCCAGTTGCATACCGTTGGCTCCGGTGGGAGCCAACTGGACCCCGCTGAAATCTCGGAAACAAGACAGTTAGAAATGTCTAACCCACGGTGAGGTTGGGGGTTTATGAACTCACTTATGTCAATATTTGGACTTCCTCGGTCATGCCCTTAAGGTCAAATAAGGTCAAACAAGGTTTAACTCCAGACAGGTTCAAAAGTGCTCCCAGACCTTCCATGCGACCGCCGTGAACCTAAATACCTACTCTAAGGAAAAAATCAGTTGTGATTATTTAAAGTTAGTGACATTGTTTGACCTTTAGAAGGGCCAACCGAACAAAAAAAAACTACGAGATTGCAGGTATTTGTCATTCAAATAAGCATCAGATATCTAGATATTCAGATATTTATTACGCCAGGCAGTATGCTCATAAAAAAAAATGTTGGCCGGGTCATTTTAGGTCAGTGACCTAATCTAACCATTATAGATCTAATGGAATACGTATGTTACGGTCACTGTCTTTAACAGTTGAAATGAGCCCGGAAATTACCTCATAAAGCAAGCTAAAGAGAAAAAGCAGGTCAGTTCTGACCTCACTCTGACATTCATACCTCACCGTACGTCAATGGATTTGTTCTAATTGTAAGTGCAGCTAGCGTATTCCCTGAGAAACTATTTCGGACATTTATAGCTTTGTTCCAATCCTCCGTTGTCGCATCAGGTTGAACGATTGCCTAGAGATGGCCTTCGCTGACAGCCAAGGCCTGACTTTGAGCTGCCATAGGTCAGTAATCATACACGGTAGTCCAATTTTCTTGCACCACAAGCCTCGCTATGTGATTGTCTACAGACATGCAAAGTTTGGCGTGGTTCCACCACGCCGTTTGAAAATCACTTTAAAAAACATTCGGAGCGGTGGTCGAACTGACCCCCCTTCCCCGAGCGCGTATTTTAACAGGTGTGTCTCACCTTTGCTGTAATTTCCACGTATGGTTATATCAGACGCGCAAGATTTGATTAGACATACCAGTTGTCTCGACATCCTTCCGAAAAGCTCAGCATTCCGATTTGGAGTAAGCGACCCAGAGGGAGAAATCTCATTTGACTCCCTGCTCACCACTATTAAGGTCATACATTTAATTTGCGTTGCTTTTCCAGTGCATGTGTTCTGCTGTGTTTGCAGCACACCAATGTGCCAAGGTGTTTGTGTAATAAATACTACGAAATCTTGAAACACTCTATTTAGGTAAAAATATTCGCGAACATGAAGCTATTAGCTCACGGATTTAACGAGACACTATATGGCTTCAATATTTCCCCCTGTGGCGTGAATTCGAGTGGCTCTTTTCGAGGCGCACTTTGGCTTTGGGGATAGAGTATCACATGATCCATGTGACAAGCTGGTTTAAACTTTCACCAACACGCTTCTCGGCAACATGCCCTTGCCCACTGGAGCAATCACAACATTCCTTTATTCGCAGCAGTAGGGATGCGCACGGTGGTTGTCATATCGACGGTTCTCGCGACAGCAGGGAAGAGGCGTAGTGGTGTAACAAAGCGCTGGCAGCGTAATCTGGACTGGAAAGCAATTAAAAGTTCTGCATTGACGGTGATGCAGTGGCATCGCCCAGCGCTATTATAAGACGTAAATAGTCCTGACGTTACACCACAGTACGTTTTTGAAGCATGCCCCAAAGGCGAGACAGTCCTTCAAGCGTTGTCATATCCCTTGGAAGACTGCGAATAATTGTCACCAGCATTGTCAGTGAGTGAGGATACACCACCTAGCTACAACAATCCAAACTGAGCCTCACGGTGGGGTGCCGGTAGTGCAGTGGCTAACGCGTCCGCGTTCACCACTGCGCGTCAGGGAAACCAGAGGTACGGGGTTCGATTCCCCGCGGTGCCCGCCCTTCCCGCCAGGGTGAGAGGCAGGCGACGCCATATAGCCCCAGCAGCTGAATGCGTCGTAAAGCCCCAATGACACACGCATTGCGTTGGTCGAATGATATCAGAACGTATGCTAATAAAGCGGCATGTCTTTGACTTTAGCATTGTTGTTTGTTTTCGTCACAAGAACACTCGTTGCATTTTGCTGGAGGGGTAGAGGAAAAGGAAAGAAGCAAGAGACACCGAAATATAGCTATTTCAAACTAAACCAACTTGCATATTTTGGGCAAAAACAGAATAACGAAGCTATCGAACTTATCATTGGTGCCGACATATGCCATGACGACATATCGCACGAGTCGTCTCGATACCAGCCGGTCAGCTTTTGGCGTTTTACCGTGCGTAATCCCCCGATGTTCAAATTCGATCCTGCGACCGATGTAGAAAAAATTCCATTGATCTTGTGTTGCCTGAACGGCAGTAACTTGGTTTGCAGTCGCACATCAGTTTGAAGAAAGTCGAAGGGACCGTGTTTTTTCCGAAAATGAGGACAACGGTCAAACTGGGTCACTTTATGTACCTAGTTGACCTTAAATGTCGTATTAACCCGTGTTTCAGAAAAGAAATACGTCTTTAACTTTTCGAAGCACTTGTTCCAAATTTGATGCACCACAAACCGTTTTCGGTGCAGCGAGTTGAAAAACGGCGACTTCCTCGCGTATTCTTATTTGCTCCTAGTTCCTTTTCGGTACGCTGTACAACTCTACAACTTACTGAATGGGTTCTTGCCGAACATGCGTCTTTTCGTCAAATCCTAAGAAGGTGCGTGTTACCCTCCCGTCGATTTGTCGTGGAATGATCCATTTTTCATGTTGCAGTGCGGGTCGACACAAAGCTTCCTAGGCCTATGTATTTATCCCTGAGAATGTACAGATATGCCACCTTACAATAGCCGGAAACGGAATCTCAGCTCAGCTGAGAGCTAAAATATAACTTTTAGAAACCTTCAATGAAGCTTCGGGCGTCGCAGTATCCGCGAATATCAGGCGGCATTTGCTGGTGTCTGAGTCCGGCTGATAGCTACGCTGTCGTCGTCACTGGGTCTTAACGATACACCCGACGGCTCCTGAGCGGCGAATTGAGAGTGCGTGTCCAGTGCTGACCATAGCCAACACGTAGAAGTGCCAGGTCAGTTCCCAGAGGCACCGCATGATGGTGCACCCGCCGCATCAAGGAAAACTTGCGGTGAACGACCTTTAAGGGCCCATCCCAGGGTCGATGTGCATGGAAGACAGGACACTAAGTATGCATATTTAAATCCGAAATGGACAGATACGCAAAAATCGTACCGCTTCCTTTGCACAGGACGGTAAACGCGAGAACCCCTGAACCAGTAATCGCGTAGCGCAGCTTGCAAGGAAAAACTTTGGACGCTTACTGATTGGGATGTCATGGGCAGTTTGAACTCAATATCTTCTAAAAGGTCAGATGACGGTTTTATGGGAACCCCGGCGGTCAATGTTTTGACAAGACAACATCATCACAGAAATACGCTTGAGGTTCATAACCTGCTGGAGTTTATTTCCTAGAGATCTACAGACCGACTCGGGATACCGACCGTGTCAACGACATCCCAAGGCTACTAGTGCAAAAGGCTACGCAGACATGACGTCACCCTGGGATTAAAGTTTAGTAGCCCGCAGTATGGTTTTTGGTTGATACTACGAAATGGTTGGTAAATACTAGTCGCATGATTAAAAATGGAGACTCAGTCAATAAACTGGATGATGACCCTGTTTTATATCTTTATTTCAATGCTATGTGAATAGATATAATGGGTATGCGTCTCAAACATTCTTAAGACGAATCAATACTGAGATCTGATTCCAAAAGAATGCTATGTGAATAGATATAATGGGTATGCGTCTCAAACATTCTTAAGACAAATCAATACTAAGATCTGATTCCAGAAGGGATCGTACTTAACCACGTTTGCTAGTTCCAGCACCCGAGCCATATTCGTCGTGGCCAACGCGCGTGAATATTTATATGTACTGCATTTTTGTAAAAGGAGCTTTCATTTGTAACTAAATAAATATCATATATGTTAACATTAAATTAATCACTTAGCGATGATCGCCCCTATATATCCGTGCTGAAAAACCTATATGGAGTGAAATGTGAAAATTAGATACTGTGAAGAGGGCAGGTGCTAAGAATTTCGCTGTTGCTGTGCTATGATATCCCGAGGTGTTGGCTAATTCGCAGATCTATAATGTTGTTGTTATTACATGTATAATGTGATTCTTCTTTTCTAGAGACAGAGCCCATCGTCCTCCATGCTGTTGAGGAGGACACTGATGCAATCGCATTGAGGATTGATGGGAGGCTTGAGGAGCGTCACCAGCGCTTTGGAAGGCGGGGGAGGCTCAATGAAGGGTCCCAGGGACCCCTCCCCGAACATCACGAGAGGTCCCTCTTAGTTTGGAATATGTTCAGTTTGCTTCACTTGTTAACCAGTCATACCGATGGGCGCGCACATTGACCATCACTCTTCTCGGCCATGGCTCGGAGGGCCTTCTGTCCCAACCAGGGGTGCTTACCGGCCACCACTCTAACGTCACACGGCCCGGGCTCCTAGTTAGTCCCAGAGCGGTACATCATGCATCGGCACCCTCCCTGACGCAGGAGGCCCTCTAACCGGGGCACTTGGCCCCGGATGGGCGCAAGGGTAGTCTTTGGGCCCGGGCCAGACAAAAAGCTGTCTGGCTAGCCTTCGAGCTCAAGGACGTAGGTTCCGAGCGCCCCAAGGGCCCTCAGGAACTAAGGGAGTGGAACGCGCCTCTGCGGCGCTCCCCCCCCCCCCCCCCTCCAATGCCTCGGTGAGGCAGAAATCAGGACTTGTGCACATGAAATGCAAAACTGTCCGTGCGTAGTGGTGACACCATGCATGCGCATGATTGCAACACTGCAGTAAGTTAAAATGCCCTGAATTTTGTAATTGAGGTCAAAGGAAATACTGTTCATTGATCGTGCTCACGGGTACCGATTCGTGTTATTTTGTGAGGGCCCTGCCCCTCATGTTGAGTTGCACCCCTCCCCCCTTCCCCAATGTTGGCTTGCCCCCTCCTCAATATTTTTGGCTGGAACACTACAAATAACGTGGGTAAAAGATGAGCATAACATAAAGGCTAGCTTCTTTGATCTTTCTGTGTAGTGGCGTCCCGAACCACTCTCGTAATAAAAAGTCATTGTTGCTCTCACCACGAGATACAAACCGTAACAGCTGAGTGGATAAACGATGCAATTAACTTCACATACCTTGCACCAGCTCCATTGCGTGTCTTATGCACCAGAAGACACGCAATGGCTTGCGAGGTAAAACTGAAAAGTTCTGGAATATGGGGATGACCAAGTCCTTCATGTCTAACCCCGTCCAGTTCCCCACAACCAAAATGCGTGCCGCCTACCATGACCGCCATAGAACAGCGCCCTCGGCATCCCACGGTGGCGTCCAAAGGGGAGCCTTCACCTGCCGACCAGAAGAGACGCGCGCGTCCAGTGCCTGATGCCTGGATCCAACCCCACGTGACTATGCCGCTGAAATTGAAGACTTATAAATTATACAAAAATTAAAGACATATATTGCGTTTAATAAAAATAAAGTGGGCTTAATCCGATAAGAACAAAATGTGGTGGGGGGGTTAGGTTGTCAGGCCTGTGGTTTGGTCCCTTCCCCCCGTGATCTACAAAAAGTGGCACCTAAGGTCGTGCTAAAAGCACAACCATCAAAACGTGTGCCCGAAATATGCGCTTCCGAAAGTTGTTAGCTCGTACTGCCCGCTACACTTAGTTACTCAGGCGATGCCCTGACTGGTCCATGCTGGATCCATCAGTGCTCAGCAGTTGCTGAGGGATTACATGACAGTGGACCAAGGCAGTGAATTACTGTAGCCACTGAAACGAAACGTGAAGCAACCATGAACTAAGCTAACAAGCTTCACCACTGTGGCGCACACAACGTTGAACCCCACGCGCGCCGCAGAGACTGACCAGCTGGCCGCGCCGGTGACCCCTCCGATGTTCTCCTGCGCCCGCACTCCACACCTGCACCTCCCGGGACGCCAGCCGACGTGCAACCACCGGGCGGGATCGACGCCCCCCAGCCTGAGCCCGGTACCAGACTCGCACGCCGGCCGCCCATCCCCACCGTGGGCAAATGCTCAGCTGACCGCCGTCAGGACCGGGCGCTGATTGGCTACCGCCGACGTTTGCACCACACCGCGTAGCGCCTGCGCAGGGGGCGAGTTAAAACGCGCAGCGGTCAACGGACCTGACATGGCCGGAATCGGACGCGTCAGGAGTGAAGCTCCTTGTTCAGTTCGAGCCTTCAGCCCCCCCACACGCCAAACTGTGGGAGAAAAGTGGGCCAAATCCGGGGAGAAGTCCGTTTGTTGGCAAATTTTGTTGGTAGTTTCATAAATTTCAATGGTGCCGCCCCCCCCCCCCCCTACCCCCAGTTCACTTTGCGCAGATACGTCCCTGGGACGCAGAACACAACTAAACTGTACCAGATAATATGCATCCCAGGGGGATGCCCCCCATGATGCCCCCCACGCTGAGATCTTTTGAGGATATCTCTCCGGTATGTGATCGCGCTCAAATTTTCAGTGGCATTTGGAGCATTCATTGCACGCGATTTGACGCTATAGACGCGCCTGACTTTTCGTCTTTCTGGGCAGTGACCTGTTAAGCACGGAGCACTGAGCGGTGACCTGTTAAGCACGGAGCACCAAGCAGTGACCTGTTAAGCACGGAGCACCGAGCGGTGACCTGCACGGAGATAGGCGGCCGGCGCGGGAGGCAGGTGGCAACCGACGAATCCGCCGATCGCGCGCGCCGGGCCGACGCTGTCGACGCAGTCCGACAGCATTGACGTAACACTGAAGCACATGCCAATACACATCGATGAGCTCAGAGCACGCCTGTTAGCTCCATGTCGCTACGTGGCGTGGTTTCGTAAATGTGAACATGTAAAGCTGAAAAGTACTATTTTCGGGACAAACTGGTCTATAATCTGGCATAATAGTGTCAATAGTTGACCAAGCACAGCGGAATGAGCTACCAATCGCAAGATCTTGTGGAGATCAATCCGTTGGTCTTTTTTTCAGCAGGATGCATCGTTCTTAGATTGGAAACACTAGGGCCGGGTCGCATCGACTCCCCCTCCCCCCCCCCGCCCCCTGTGAACCAGGGCAGGACGAATAACCTTGCTCGTAATATCCTGTATCCTCGCAGGGCAGGCTGTTAGCGCCAGCCATGAGCTGGCCGGAGTGACCCCTGGTGGTGGTAGCCACCGTCCGAGCACAGGGGTCCCCGAGCAAACGCCCCGCACAGGGGTCCCTGCGCGGCCAGAAGCCAGTGCAGGAACCCCTGGGTCACTACTTACCCGTGATAGCAGGTAGTATGTCCCCAGGTGCATGTTATTTGCCCTACTGTTATCTTTTCTCCTTCCTTCGTTTCATAGCCTCGGGGCGGAAAAGTCCGGCTGTGCGGGGTTCTCACACAAGCAGCCAAACTAGGCAATACGCCACACAGACTGGCTGCACAGAGGGAACCGTCATTTGCACTGCAGGTCCACACACATGGTGCCAGGAACTATACACGCCTGGGAGACAACTCAGTGGAGACAGTCCAACCTGAACCCACTTAGACTTTAGACAGTTTACGTTAACATTAAAGGGAACGTTCCACATTTTAAGATAGTGAAGTAATCGTCAGATGTGATGAGACAAGCTCACCTTTAACTATGGTACACTTCTAAGTAGAGAAGATTACCCTAGACAACACAACTTTTTTGTATAGTAAATATGCTCCCCGATACGTCATTGTTTCGTCACGTTATCACACCTTGCACAACATTGATTGAGCGCCGGCTGACGGCTGTTATATGAGGAAAATCGTGCTCATGAAGCCAGATATGAACGGCTCGGCCATTATGCATATCTGCCTTGATCGACGCATGGCTCATGGAATAGCAGGGATTTGGATGACGTTTGAATGACGTCATGAATGTCATGGTGACGTCGAAATGCTCTTCCCGAAAAAGTATCCCCATCTCAGCGGAAAGCCTATTTCGGTAGCCCACAAACTAGAGAGGTTCAGGTCTTAAGGGGGGCATGAATGTGAACTGAACTGAATTATTTTCAAAATGGTTATATCAGTTAAGTACCCTTGAGTTAAGCTTCCACATTTAGTTTAGAAGTGTGGAATATCCCTTTAAGGAAGGTCAATATAACTTTCTAGACATCGAATTCAAGATCATTCCTGTCATCAAGACGAAAACAGTATGGAACAAATGCATTACAACATCCTCGTTCATAGGACTGAGGAACCCTTTATCATATCGCATCAGGGAGGTCCCGCTCTTCCGGCGTAGCTTGGCACCAAATTCGCCTTAAATAGCCATGAAACGCTCCGGAGCAAACGTATGCCTGGCTTCCCAGACTTCACCTCACTCCCCGATTCCAGAACTAGAAAGAGCGCAGAAATCACCCTGAAATCACTCCAAAGGATCCCGTGTCAGCCAGGATTTAGCCCTGAATCCTATTTGCAAACCAGCGAGGGCTTGGATTCAGCTCACAAAGATCTTATGCATCCAAACAAAACCCAAAATCTCGCAGTCATCAATTATGCCAAACTATTCAGCAAGAACCAAGATCGGGTACAATCTTAGCACGACGCCAACACTCATGAAACATCAAAATAAAGCAGCCGAATTGCGAAATTTAATCACATGTTGGGAGCAAACTATGTTGTTCCCCCGGACGTGCCTGTCCATAAGCGTCCCTAAAGGGGAAACGGCGATGCAAACCTGTATTTTTACACATATCTCATATTCACCCCTTCCCCGTCCACGTCGATAAACCATATGAGGTCAGTTTGCGCTGCGACATTAAAGATGGCGACGATTTCTCAACAGCTATCGCGGCTCCACCAGTGCAGCTACCCCTCTTCTCTCCCGCAGCACTACGGATGATGTCATTCATTCGCGCAAACCGGTTGTCGATTGCATTTCTGCCGCATCACCCTGACGCAATCTTGTGCAGCCCGGTGTTACGTGCTGTTAGGTCAACCGACTCTGGGGAACCACGGAGTGTCTGATGCCATGTGCAACATGGCAGCACGGCACCTACCATACGTGAAGCATAGCAGCACTACTGTGTGCAGCATACACGGCACCACTACTGCAGCTGCCCCTCCCCTTGTCCAGAGACCCTCTTGATGACATCACTCACTCTCGCGACCAGGCACAGCCACGCGCACTGCTGCCTGACGCAACCATGTAACCTAGCGCGCAGTCACCCCAGTGTCATGCGGCGTCGGTTCAACCGACTGTATGGGACCTCGGAGTGTTTGATGCCGTGTGTAACACCCGACGGCTCGGTTCCAAGTCCTGAGGTTAATCGTGTTATGTGCGGCACGTTGACTTCCTTGGTGCCATGTCAGTATTGTATCGCAACTGGCAAGTCCAGTCGTTTCGATGCCTCAGAACAAACTACTACTTAAAGGGAATGTGGACGGCCATTGCATCTGGAAATCATGTTCACAAACGCTAGATATGAAAAACTAGACTATCATATTTTGCTTTACCTTGATCGCCGTATGGCTCATGGAATAATAGGATTTGAATGACGTTATGGCGTCATGACTGTCAAGGTGACCTTGAAATACTCTCCCCGAAATAGTCTCCACATCTTCGCGGGCGTGTAGCTCAGAAACTAGAGGGGTTTAGGCCTTAAGAAGGGCTCACTCTCTCAACAATAATGTTTCTCTTGGCCTTGATCGTCGCATGGCGCTAGAGGGGTTTAGATCTTAGGAAGGGCTCACTTTCTTAATAGCTATGCTTGTCCTGGCCTTGATCTCGCTTGGCTAATGAAATGACAGGTTTTCAATGGCGTTATTATGAAGTCATGGGTGCTTTCCTGACCTTGAAATAGTCTGCACGAAAAAGCTTGAGCATCTTTCCGGGCGCACAGCTCAGAAATCAGAGTGGCTTAGGTAATAAGGATAGGGTTGTGAACTCTAAGGCGGTTAAGTCAGTTCAGAATTCCATGCAAATGTGGAACACTTACCTTAAGTTAAGTGGCTGATGTTCATAAATATTTTGCTAATTGGCTTGCATCATGGGATTTGCGTCATTATACCGTGCTCCGATCCTATTTTGTTATCAAAACGCATCATTTTTAAAGTAATTAGAGGGCAGATTCTTTTAAGTTGCCAGAAGGGAACTGGTGCAAATTTTTATTGGATTTCGTGCCATTCTGGTCTGATTGTTAATTACATGTACACCCTTTTACAAATACGATGTGTGTAGCCACAGTAACCACGTATGAACACCTGGCAGTTTGAATCAGTTTCTTACAAACGCACCTGTTTTGTGAATCTGAAGGGGTGCACTTGCATTAGCATTCTAGCACCCTAGCATTCTGAAAAGTGGAGCCTGCCCATAATTCGTCATATGTGCCAGGGTATTTGTTCTATATTAATGAATGTTTTCACAAGAACAGAGCGCCCAATATGTACGCATACACACACACACACACACACAAACACACACACACACACACACACACACACACACACACACACACACACACACACACACACACACACACATATATATATATATATATATATATATATATATATATATATATATATATATATATAGAACCCCAAAACCCCACCAAAATGATCAGATGTTACCCATCTGATTGTGATGAGCACAATTTTCTTCGTTTATTTTACTATGCACCTCTTTGTACTGAAACAGAAGCCAGAGGGCACCGAAAGATGCAGTGCTGTTCGCATTGTCAAGTCAATAAACTGTAGGAACCTGATGTTAAATGATTGGATGGAATAAACCACCGCAGCTATTCATTTTGCAATGGCCGTTAGCTTTTTTCTAGCCCGATGGCACTCAGAGACTGCCTCTAAATTTACCCTGGGTTGTGTAGAGCGCTGTGAACGCAGATGAGGGTAAACGTAGATTACAGATCGAAATAGGGTCATAACGTTTATTGAAATATGGCCAATCCGTGTTCGTCCGGAAATGTTGAACCTCTGTTCGGTACTGAGAGGTAGAAAT